GACCAAGCAAACCTTGGCAGCGAGTCTGCAAACCCTCCACTTTCTAGCTTGCAGGTGAAGAAAGTTTGCACTCACCCCTCTTAAGAACAACGAAATATGTTAGGAAATATTAAAAAGGCAGAATATTATTATTTTCCCCTAAAGGAGAAACATGTTTCTAAATAAACTCAGAGCCCGGCTCTCTGCCCTAAGTAAGAAACTAAGGGGCCAACTTTTAGAAATACAGATTTGGTACTCTATTCAAGATAGGATTAAAACCCCAAGGAAGTCAGCATCTAGCATTACATTACATTTGTTAAACAAGATTTTAAAACCCCAACTCATTGCCGGCCTTTGCCAGACAAAGTAGTTCAAATTAAATAACAAAATACACAAAGCAAGAAGCCTCTAAATTACAAAATGCTGTAGAACAAACTGTATAAAAATTCAGGTGCTCATTAAACCAGGTGTTCAGCTCCCTGGGACCTCAAACCCATGTGGTCCTGTCCATCAATAAACCATCTTTCCAAACAGCCTCCATGTTTCCAGTGTTTTTCTCCCCACTTGGAGCTAAACCCAGATGGACATGTCTTCCAACACAGGAAAGACTTGCTTTTCTTTCTTTCTTTCTTTCCTCCCTCCCACCTTTCTTTCTTTTTCTTCCCTTCCTCTTTTTCTTTCTTTCTTCCTCCCTTCCTTCCCTCCCTTTCTTTTTCTTTCTTTCCTCCCTTTCTATCTTTCCTTCCTTCTTTCCTCCTTTCTTCTTCTTTCATTCTTCTTTTCCTCCCTCCCTCCTTTTTTTCTTTCCTCCCTTTCAATCTTTCCTTCCTTCCTCCCCCTTCTTTCTTTTTTCTTTCGTTCTACCTTTCTTCCCTCTCTCTTTTCCTTTCCTTCCTTTCTTTACATCTTTCCTTCAATCTTCCTTCCTTTCTTCTTTTTCTTTCTTCCTTTCCTCCCTCCCTTTCTTCCCTCCCTTTCTTTGTATCTTTCCTTCCTTCCTCCCTCCTTTCTTTCTTCTTTTTCTTTCTTTCTTTCCCCTCACCTTTTCCAATTCCTACCCACCCACACCTCGCCCCCGTCCCCTTCCAGACGCGCCGAAAGCAGCCCGGCTGCCACCCAGAGGCAGGAACGGTTCAGCTCTCCCAGAGCACCAGCGCCGCCCGGTCTCTCCAGCCGCAGCAACCAGGAGA